CTGATATAATTAACCACTAATTGCAGTAAATAATCATAGCTAACATTTATCGAGTTCATCTCTGTGTCCACATGTAACAGTGTGAAAACATAGCAGACACCCTGACACACAAATGAATAAATGTCAAGCACTGGGCTAAAAGCTTTAATCAGTACCTAATTTAATCCTCTCAACAATTATGAGTTAGCTAATACTATTTTTCCTTTTCTGTAGTGAAGAAACTGAGTCAGATAATTTAGATGACCTTGCCCAAAGCCACAGTTGTTAAGTGGCAGACTGGGACTGGAATCCACATTTGACTCAAGTGCTAAACCCATGTAAAGAGAAGAGTCGTGAGGATTCGTGTAGGTGTAGAATTTATTGCTGTGTTAATGCTTCCTGTTTAGACTGAGATATGTCATTTGCATAAATGTTATTCTATTCAGTAGTCAGCTTCCATGTCTGCTCTCAGCATCTATCCCTCAGTTCCATAAGCAATTTTACAGTGGTATTTCTTAATCTCGAAAAGTATGAAATCATGCAGAAGAGGAAAGAAGGCAGTTTGCCCCCACTTTGACCACCACGCCTGGTGGGAACAGTTTCTCTGCTAATCAGTGATTAATATGCTATCCTGATTTTAGAAATCCTTCTCTGCTTCCTCATTTGCCTTTTCAGGGGTTCGTTAAGATCTACTGTCTCTTGGATGCTCTACTCTATTAGACAGGAGACACAGGCAGAGAGAAACTCATTTGGCATGAATTAGGCAGCAGAGAAAACACTTGGCTAGTGGGAGTAACCTGTCAACCTGGTTTTCTCTGGCCAAATGACCGGTCTTGTCTAGTAGTAATGCTATTACAACATTCCCATTCAGATCCCCATGACCCAGTAATTGTTTTAGGAATGAGTGCAAAGCTATCAGACACCAACTACTATAATTAGAAAAGGGAAAAACAGACACTTACCAGAGCTACGTCTTTAGGCTGGAGCGTTTACAGCACTTTTTTTTAAAGGTTATGGAGCCTCTTTCTCAGTTTTGCTTCCTAAAATAAAATTATACAGTTTTGGGGTTCTTGTATTCCAGTGTTTGTTACTGCAGTACCCTCTTTCCTCCCCCCCCCCGTTTTAATCGGAGTACAAATTGCTGTCAGCACATTGAGTTCATGTGCCAGCCACATTCAGAACAGGGTGTTCTGTGCTCTTCAAAACAAAATTGCTGTAGGGCAGTAAGAGAACAATAAGTCAGAGCTCCAGTTTAAGTGATGTTTTGCAGCAGACCAGCCTCATTGGATGTGGTTACACTCAGATTGCGCAGCTAAACTCTAGTAATTTGGTTTGGTTTGACTTCATGGGGTTTGCAGGACCTCTCCCTACTCTTTAAGTTACGTAAACTATAAGTCAAGAGAAAATGTTGTCCCTTTTTAACTCGCTTATTTCTTTCTCTACCAAAAAAAAAGCCCTAAGTAGAAGCATCCTGTATGTACTTTAATTCTCTTTGGGCACGTCATAGATCATTTACTTCCCGTAAATCATGCTGGTTGGAATTAGCAACAGACCTCCTGAGCCCTAGAGGCTGAGCTCCCAGTGAGTCATGATGGTTATTATTAAATATTTATTAAATGAGTATTTGCATTAAGAGATTCAAGGTCAGAAGCAACCACAGGTCTTCCATAGCCAGCTCTACCACAGTTGGGTGGCAATTTTTGAGACAGTTGAAAAAAATAATAGCTGGCTGGATGGGAGCTAGGCATGCCTGCCTCTATCACCATGAAGGGAAGCCCCCACTGTGGCAGTTGGCACACGTTTCTGTGGCTCCGAGGTGGTGTGTGAGTTTTTCTCAGCAGTCTTGTAGAACTCGTCCAACAGTGTTCCAAGTTTAGAAGCCGGTTAACTAGCTATAGTTTTTGCTACTTATAGATGTAAAAAGTCAATGGACCGTATATTCCCTGAGGCTATAATACCTCCTCTTGCTCTGACATTCCAGATAGTATTAAAAGATGGTGGTTTTACATATATATATATAAAACTGGTGTATGTGTGTGCGCGCACACACGTCAGTTTATCAGTTTAAGATTTTAATGTAGGTAGTTTTAGTTCAGGTCCAACTTAGAACAGTTAGATTTACCAGAGGGGGAAAAAAAAAGATTAGTCCATCTATAAGATAGTAAGTATTCATAAGAGTTATTATAAATTTTTACCTTTTATTAGGTGGCCACAACATTTATCATGTATTGTCTCTTAGACCAGCTTCAATGAATGGTTTGTTGTGGGGTTTTTTGCTTGCTTAATTATGCCTTCATTATCATTTGACTTGAACTTTTTTTTACATGCTTGCTTCACTTATCTTTCCCAACATATTTATTAGTCTATCTTTTTTATTCTAATATTACAGGTTATCACATGTGAAGAACCCTTTTTTCCCCAGAATTCATCTTTATTCTTTTTTTTTTTTCCAATTAGAGTTGACATTCAGTATTATGTTAGTTTCAGGCATACAGCCTAGTGGTTAGACATTTACATAATTTATGAAGTGATCCCCCTGATTAGTCTAGTACCCACCTGGCACTATACATAATTATTACCTGTGTTCCGTATGCTGTACTTCACGTCCCCATGATCATTTTGTTAACTACTAATTTGTACTTCTTAATCTCTTCACCTTTTTCACAACTCCATCCCATCTGGCAGTCACTAGTTTGTTCTCTATATCTGTGAGTCTGTTTCTGTTTTGTTTGTTCATTTATTTTGTTCTTTAGATTCCACATATAAGTGAAATCATATGCCATTTGTCCTTCTCTGTCTGGCTTATTTCACTTAGCATAATACCCTCTAGGTCCATCTGTGTTGTTGCAAATGATAAGATTTCATTTTTTAAATGGCCGAGTAGGTGTAAAGAGAACTTCTGAAATTATTTATATAATTTTAATATCAAGTATATACATCAAACCGAAAACCAGGCTAGGAAACTGACACATGGGCAGGAATCTTCTGCAGAGTCTCTGGATTTCCTGTTTTGAAAACACATTCAAACTTGATCAACCAAAAACCACAATGAATGTACTGATAGTTTCCTTCCCCACTAAATGTACTCTCCTTTAGGGAGGAAGATACTTCTAACAATAAACTTTTTTAGACAAAAAGATTTATCAACTAAGTTGTGAGCTACTAGGATAATAAATCTCACTATTTGAGGAATTCCACAGTACATGGGCTGAAATTCACTTTGCTCACCCAGCAGATCTTTTTTCATGAAAGGTGTCATCACATTAGTCTAAATTCAATTTTTCGAGCAGATCTAAAAATATTTAAGAATGCAAACTTTTCAGAACTCTCAACTCCTTTCAAAGAAACATGAGTTTTTACTCTAGTAAAAATATTTTAAGCTTTAGACTCCCTGTTGAACCTCTCTAGTATGTATATATTTGAAAATAATAAAGTTGGATTTACTTTAAAAATAATTACCAGTTCAAAAGAACTTTCAATGTGCTGCAGGTTGATTATTTTATCTAGAGCATTCCAGAAGCGAGTGTAATAGAATCAGCAGCATTTGTAGTATGGGACCAAAAGCAAAATTTCTATATGCCAGCTCCACCCTGAGAGCCAGTCTAGTTCTTGCCCTTGTTTGGAGGGTCTGACTCGAGAGGCAGGCCTTTTCTAATTTTGCCCAAGCTTCTTATACTCCATCTTGTGTCTGCAATGGGAGCAAATCAGGATGGTATTAATCCTAGTAAATTAATTGTCTCATGGAAAAAGTATAACAGAACGAGTGATTTTTAGTCTCTCTAAAGCAAGTTATTGATCTAAAATAGAGCAACCAGTCTTAGAAAAGAAGCATTTTAAGAAATTGTTACATTGAATCTAGGCCATTATATTACAAAAGTAGAAATAAAACATTTTCTTATGAAAGACGAATTATTATATTGTTGTTGTGCTATCATACAAGCCATCTATTTTCCTTTTTTAATTAAATTAATTGGAGTGACATTGTTTAATAAAATTATATTGGTTTCAGTGTACAGTTCAATAATACATCATATGTATATTGCATTGTGTGTTTACCACCCAAAGTTTCCCTCCATCTTATATTTGATCCCCTTTTCCCTTATCTACCCCCACATCCATTTTTCTTATTGAGTCAAAGACCTAAATGGTAAGGAATGAATAATCCTATTAAAAGTACTTGAAAGTTTCAGAGAATCGTTTATCCTAGGAAAAAAGTCTAACTGATCAAGAGAAAATATATATATTTATATGCCTTTTTTCTATTTTGTCTTATAAAAACATAAAAGCCCCTTATGTAATATGAAATTTCCTGGGAATAAGATGAGTGAGTTTGAGTGGAGTAGGGAATTAGGCCCCAAGAAATTGACCTCTTTACTTAACATATCAGAAGAGGCGGTTAAGTAATACGTGAAGTTATAGTAGACTGTTGACTCCTTCAAGCTTTACATTTATTACCCTACTGAGGGACATAGCTATGTTAGTTGTTGATGATGTTGACTTTGGGTTTTCCGTTTTTATTCAAATGTATTTGTGAACTAGATTAAGACTTTAAAAAAAAACTTCTGTATTCAGTTAACCTTTGTATATCATTGGGGAAATAGTCATTCAGTTGTTTTTCATCTAAGCATCTGAAGTCAAGATGAAGTTATAAATGTTTAAGCTACTATATATTTGATATTAAATTTGTGCCAGTTTGATAATTATCTAGTATTTCTTGATCTCGTGTTACAGGTGAGGAAACCTGTCATTTAGTAGGCTTAGATCAAACCCGTGTTTCCACTTTGTTTTGCTATCCACTAAGCTATCTTATTGATACAGTTATCAGTAATTATAAGTTTAAACTTAAAACAGAAAGAAATACGATTGCTCTTAAATTTCCAGACTGGGTGGACTAAGCGTTGATAAGCCATATCATGTATGTCTCTAGATGAAATGAGAAAAGGAAATACTCATTTTTCACTTCCCTAGATTAGCCAGTCCTAGGAGCAGCTTTGTTGACTGCCCTGTCTCCTCTCCCTCAGTCCACCTGGAAGGCCACTGTGGTGGAAAGATGTTTGATTGCAGAGATGTGATATTCATCGTTGGCGAAGGAGAAGACCACGACATTCCAATTGGAATTGACAAAGCCCTGGAGAAAATGCAGCGGGAAGAACAATGTATTTTATATCTTGGACCACGGTAAGCAGCGCATTAGTTCAGTACACAGCGAAGTTGTCTGAAGAACAGGGATATGCTTGCTTTTTCGGTCAACATTTTGGTATTTTCAGTGAAGTTAATGCTAACAGTGGAAACAATTAAATCAAACTATAGTTACAGAGTGAACTACTAGGCCTTATGTCACAAAATTTTGTGAGCCTGTTTACTCGATTGATATGTGTATGTTGAAGATAAGGCGGACAGGCAAGTTTTCCTTTTTTATTTGTTTTGCCTACCATATTGCCAAGACAGGAAGCTGTTGACACATCTCACATGATTCTCTTGCCCCCTCTTTCCTTTAATCTAAAGTAGGCAAGAGGCAGTACAACATGTTGGGGTTGGAAGTAGAAGCATTTGGATGATTTATTACTACTTGAATTTGTGCCACCTGTTCTTATACAGTCCCTGAAAAAAAAGAAAGAATGTTCTTCCTGCATCTAAAGGCAGCGGAGATGACTCATTTTTGCCTAAATTTTTCCCATCATAAGGATACCCATTAGCACTTCCAAGCTTAGAACTATCAGACACTAACAGTCTCTCTTGTGAAAACATGTTTGGTATTATTTTTAGATCTAAAATTATACCATGTATCCAACCCTTCTATCTTGAGAAATGGACCCTTGAGAGAAACCAGGGTGTTTTGATTCTGTCTGCATGTGAGTGCATCTGCTTATCTTGTGTCTGCTCCTTCTCTGCCTCTTTGGATTTCACTCAGTAGGATTTTGAGGAACTACGCTTACCAATAGGTAATATTGTGCCTTTTGTACAATCACTTGCCTTTGTGTAGCTTCAGTAGTAGTCATTGCAGATATACCTTTGCCGTAACACTTGGGCCATAATCATTTTTCTCAAGTGATGTTTTAACCATGCTACTACTACCCACTTGAAAATCCTTCCAAAATACTCTACTCCTTGAACCCTTCAGAGCCTTCACTGGGGGCACCTTTTATTTAATACCTTCTTTATTTTATTTAATACCTTCTTTTTCTTTGTCATATTCCTTTCCCACTACTATATTCCCACTTCAGTGTTTTATTTACATTTATTCTGTATTTGTAGTTCACCTCTAGGTGAACCAATTTCTTTCCGTAAGGAACTTTTTAAATCAAACAATGCATAGAGAAGCCTATCTCCTCCATATCCAAATAATATCTAATGATTTTTAACCTAGCTCCAAAATTATAGTAGTTCTAGATTCATATAGGGTGGCATTTTGTGTCCAATGTATGTTTTCAGATTTAAGTTCCTTGAGGATAAGTTGTATACACTGTGAGCATATAATATTATGTGAGTGAGTTTGTTACATTTTAACTTAGCTGACAAGGTACTTAGGGCAGATTCTCAAGTGTAATGGCAAAGAGAAACAAATTATCCTTATATTTATTAATGAAAATAGTTCCTCGCAAGTTTAAATTGTTTGTTGTGTCTTCAGTGCTTAAACCCTGCTATGCAACTTACTAGCTGTGTTCTCTTGTGGAAGTCACTTAAGTCTCCTAAACCACAGTTCCCCTTCTATAAAATGGATATAGCAGTATCTATCTCATAAAATTGTGGAGAACTAAATGAGATAATGCACATAAAGAACTTGGCAGACTTATGCCTGACACACACCCTCGGCATATTAGCTATTTTTGCTATTGCGATTTATATCTTTCTCTTCCGTTTTACCCTCAGGCCACAAGAAAAAGGAAACCCTGTTTTAACATACAGTAGATTTTTCAGATTTTTTTCAGTCATAAAAGTAGTCAACAAGTTTTCATAAATTTCTAGGTGTAAAAGTTTTTTCATATGTTTTAGTATAGTTAGAAAGAAACACGTTGTCTTAAATTCTTTAAGATGTTGGTTAGTATGTTGAAGAGTTGTATAAAGTACGTACTTTGCAATAGACTACCCAGACATGCACTGCGTAGTATTATCCATGTATGTAGAAAACCCCAGCACACCAGGCATTTTGTGAGTGCTTGCAGTGAATATACTTGTCTTATTCAGACTTCCACTTATCACACAACATTGCATCTGAGTGCTGCTGTAAATACGGCTCTGGTGACAATATGCTCTGTATTACTCTTAGTGTCACCTGTATTTCCTTCTCCAAAAGATTTCCAGGTCATACTTTCTCGTCGATTTTGATAGACTCCTTGGCAGGGCAGGGTGTTTTCATAGTAAAAAATTCGTAAAATACTTCCAAAGAACCCATTTTCTCTTATCATCACGATAAAATCTTATATATTTTAAGTATTGTGACTATTAATCTTTTTCGTTTTAGGTAAAGTATGGCTAGTTTTGACTTTTTTTTTTTTTTTTATCGTTCCTTATGTTTTCTGTCCTGCACTAACCCCATACAAAACCATAGGCTGCCAAGAGTCACAGTGTCTAATTATGAGGCAATGTGGGTCAGAAACTAAACCATTATCTGAGGGCACACAGAGTCTGAATTTAAATGCTGGCTCTGTACTGCCTCTTTCTGTGATCTCAGGAAGCACATCTCTTTGAGCCTCAGTTTTTTCATCTGTAAAAAGGGAATGATTGGTAAGAACTTAAGTACAAATGCTTCTTGTATGCACACGAAGGCTTGATGGTCATTATATTATCTCTACTCTGCAGGCAACTGTTAATTCAAGAACATTAATACCGGATTCTTTCTGTTATTGTAGCCCAGCTTGTCTTTTGGTGAAGTCCTAGAATTCCATTTGCGGTGTTCTCTTTCAGTCAGATTAATTATAGCATAAGTCAGACAACTTTCTTTATAATATGCAAGTCGAGTTAGATGCTTCAAAAACAGTTTGGTGTGAGCTTATACCTTCCTAGGATGATGTGTTCCACATACATCTCCACAGAATCTCTTCATTTGAACCCAGGAGGGATTGTAGAAATAATATTCCTCTTCGGCCTTCTTTAATCCCACCGATAACAACCAGGACACTTTGGTGCCTCTCTTGACCCAGCCCCACATCTCCCACCCCCAGCCTTGAGACCCTTATTTGTGAGTTCCACTAAGGCAGCTTTTCTCATCCTCAGCACTATTGCCGTCTCGGGCTGGGTGCTTCTTAGTTGCGAGGCCTGTCCTGTGCATTGTAGGATGTTCGGTAGTGTCCCTGGCCTATTCCCTCTAGATGCCAGTAGCACCCACCTAGTTGTGACAAGCGTATCTCTAGACATTGCCAGATGTCCCTGGTGGTGGGGGCATTAAAATCACCCCTATTGAGAGCCACTGGTCTAAGGCAAGTGCCAGAGCATCTGTTGGATTTGTGCCTGTTTAGCACAGGGCTCTAAATATAACATGCTATCAGTGAACACATGCTCAGCAAGGACTCACCTATTTACCTAGTTCCAAGCAGTTAAGCAATGTTCTTTCTTTACCAGATGGCAGAAACAAAAAAAAAGAGATACATAGGTCTGAGAGCTCAAAGTAGAAAACTAGTCACCAGCTTCCTAAAATTGGCCACTGGTAATTATGTCCTCTCTTATTTCTTTGCAGAAGATACCCTTTGCCTTGCTATTAAAACTACCACACCCCATTCCTACCAGCGCTCATTCTATCTCTTTGCCTCACTCTGGCTCCAGCTTCCATTTTTTGTGTGTAACAGCAGAGGTGAATAAGCACTTTCTTCCTAAGAAATTCAGGCAAGGGTTAAAGAAAGTGATGCAAGCAGCAAGATAATGAGTGTTTCCACTCTAGTCCTTTTGCTCCAGGGAAAATTCAAGGTATTAGCATTGACCCAGTGTGCCATCTTTCAACCCATAACCTGAATATTTGGATTTACTAAGTTTTTTGCAGTGTTCTTCCATACATTAAAGAGTAGTTTGGCTTGAAACAGATGAGCAGACACTTCCCTAATATGTTGGGCGTTGTTCTAAACGCTGGGAAGCCCTCATCTCAGACAGGGCATTGCCAGAACTTCCATTCTGATAGGTGTGCACTCCCTGCATGCCTTGGATTTGTTCATGATCTTAAACGATCTGAAAAAAAAAAAAAAACAAATTTATATACCCCCAGTGATTTTATTGAATAAGTTTTGGGTAAAAGGTGGTAGCATTTTACAGTTTGATAGCCACAGAGCTTGAGAGTATTTCTCTTGATGAGGTGTTAGAGCTTGCTAGGTCTTTTCTTTTTGATTATATATTTGTTATCTCATTTGTATTTTCTAGTGTGCTTTTTAAAAGTGTTGAAGAAATACCGTGAAATGTTTTGGGGTTTTTTTTGTCCCCTGATGTGTGAGCCTTTCCCCCATTCTTCTGACTGGAAATGGTGCTGTTAGGAGACAGCACTTTAAAGTTGAAAGCTTATTAAAACATACCTCTAATGAATAGCACTGGAATGATTACAGTGCCAGTCATCTCTGTCCTCCTGCTGATAAAGCTTTGGGGAAGAGTTCTAATAGCCAAATCATGGCGGTTTTATGAAAAGAACTAGATATAAAATCAAGCAGTGAAAAAGGCAGTGACGTTTAAAATCACATTAAGCAGGCTGTCCCAAGAAGTACAGGTGCTGCATTACATGTGAATGTGAAGGAGAAAAGAAAACTAAATCTAGCCCGGTTGCTTAAAAAACCACAGCAGTGGAACTTGGCACTCTATTTTCTGATATGAACATCTGGTTTGTCTTCAGGATCTCTATTGTGTGTAGTTTGCAAATGATAGCTCTATGCTAATGTGATACCGCAAAGTACTGAAGGAAGTGCCTGGAAATACACCAGTTCTTTTAAAGTTTTATTTCTTTACTCTCCATTTCAGATATGGTTTTGGAGAGGCAGGGAAGCCTAAATTTGGCATTGAACCTAATGCTGAGCTTATGTATGAAGTTACACTTAAGAGCTTCGAAAAGGTGAGAAAATACCAACTTCTCTGAAATCGTGGTAGGTTTCTTCTCCAGCCACTTCCTATAAATTATAAGATATATTTCTAGGTGGTATAGGTAGATGGTATTTATTTGTATGTCGTTCTTTTCATCATCATGTTCGTCTCTTGTCTCTGACATTGCTACTAGAGTGTGGGACAACTGATACAGCACAGCTGATCTACAGCTAGAAGCTCAGTGTTCTTATTTTGTTCCTATGTGTCAGCCCCCCCCCCCCGCTTTTTTTTTACTTTCTTGGGTCGAATCCAAGACTTGTTCTCTTACTTGTTCCTAGACTTGTTCTTTTTGTACTTTTTTCCTGAGTTGAAGACAAAAAGGTTCACATTCTGCCAAGCAGCTCCTTGGGGGAGCAGGGCGCAGTTTTTCAGTGCTGAACGGATTGTACCCTTCCCAAGGGTGGTGAAGAGGCCTTCACTGTGGCTCTATGTTATTAGCCAAAATGCAAGGCTTCATGGGCCACCAGGCTCTGTGACAAGGAACACAAGAGACAAATTTGCTAACCCTAGGCCTTTTCTTTTCATACCTATCCAGATAGAAAAATGAGTTTGTCAGTTGCCTTGAGTTCCAGAAACAGCATACCCCATTGAGTACATTTCCATCTCAGACCTGCCTCTGGAGGCTCCCAGCAGTAGCCTCATTGGACAAACACAAAGCATATGCCTGAGCTAGATATTCTGTCATGTCCAGCTAAGTCCCCTTTACATCACCAAAGCCCTGGGCCCCTTCCCTGAGACCGCAAGAACTGCATTTTGTATGCCTTTTTTATTCTCACAGTGTTACTCCATGTTCTGTACATTAAGCTTTGGACCGGAAACATGACTGTTTATATTTTATTAGACTCTGAAAAGAGATCATTGTCCTGTAGGTCTATAACTTTGGGCTAAGAAAGTCAGAGAAGGACTGCTTTAGGATTCTCCCCTAAAGTGATGTTCCTGATCACACCCCGCATACTTCATGTTCCCCCAAAACTAACGTGCTCTCAGGTAATTCCTTCTGAAGGCCTGCTAGCTCATCACTGATCCACTAAAGCTGTCTTCATAGCACAAAGTGTTTTTTTATTGTTGAAGAGAGAGAAAATAATCTTTAGCACATGGTTATTTAGACCTTTGACTTTCCTATTCCAGTTTTAATGAAGTAACTCCCAGCCCCTTCCCATCGTGGCGCAGTGGGCATTGCTTACTTAGGCGCATCTCACGGTGGTATGCCGTAATGAGCCTGTGCTCTGTCACCGCTCCAAGAGGAGTATGTTCCATGTAACACTGCTTGCTTTATTTGAAGCTGTATGAAGGTGTGTGATGTTGGAGGCAATATGATTTAATTCTCTGCCTCATACTATTAAGAATATTTTTATATTTCCTAAAGACTGAACCTACTAAAAAAATGGAAAGCGTCCTTGTTACTAGATTTTTAAATAATAGAGCTAAATTATTGAGAAGCAGCATGGGGCTGCCAGAAAGACTAGTGACTCTCGTTATGCACTTTAAAGGGGAGGGGCAGGCGGCTTGACACCAGAAATACACCACTAATTGTCTTTGGAGTACAGAGAATTTTACAGTTACCACTTAAGCTTCATGATTCCTACACAGTAAATAACTCTGACATAGCCATTGTCATATTCCCTAAAGGACCCCAGATTGTTCTGTCGACTCTTCATGATCCTTCTAAATCTAGCTGTTCACGAAACCACAGTTGTCTCTGGATTCTTATCTTTAATGGAGTTGAATAATGATACACTGGATACAAATTAAATGACCATGAAATCATGTTTATGGCTTTGAAATGATATTTTTATATCAGCTTTACCCTCCCAATTATATTTTACTTGAAATTCCTGAAGTGTACATCTGCAGGTTGGTACAGTTTGGATGTTTTAGTATATCTGGTTATTTTAGAGTGGAAGAGACCACTACATGACCTGGAATTTTAAAAACTCTCAGGAATATTCGACTGTGACTTGACTACAGTTGTGTTCCCATTTTAGAGTTGAAAAACTGAGGCTTAAGAGAAACATCTTGCTGAAGTTATAATAGCAGTTTAATGGTGAGGTTTGCAGGAGGGAAATAAGGGACGCTAGCTTTCATTGTGTGGCCTCAACTTATAATTCTAAAGAAGCACTGTTTCACAATGTTCAACGGTAGATGTTCCTTACTATATTTTTACCTGTTCCTCCCTCTTGAGCAACATGGTCAAGCTGCAGCTTTGTCATTGAAAAGTGAGTTCTAGCCTGGCAGTGAATTGGCAATGGCACACATTTTTAAAATTAAATGCCAGTGTGTTTTGAGGTGTGAGTATCCTCTAGAAGTAGCTACTGTTTGTTCTTATTGGCATCAGCTGATGCTTTTTCCTTCTGTTCATCTAACCATTGTCACAAATTTACACAACAGGCCAAAGAATCCTGGGAGATGGATACCAAAGAAAAATTGGAGCAGGCTGCCATTGTCAAAGAGAAGGGAACTGTGTACTTTAAGGTATGTGAATTCTTGTATAAGCCTTTCATCTCAAGAGATTTACTCAAGGGTCAATGAATTGTGCTGATACTCCCTACTCTGAATTTTATCGGTACTCTTCTGGATAAGAGTAAGCCTGAATTTTTACAAGTCTGTAATTTCCAATATAAGAAATGATGAGAAAGAATGAATTAACGTGACAAAAGAATACAAATGCCTCTTTTACAGGGTCTACTCTAGACTATAACCAATCTGCCTAATGGCAAACCAGGTCTGGCTCGCCCAGCCACCACTGTATCGCTCAAAGCCTAAAGCACCTTGCTTTGGTACAGAGTTGGCACTCAGTGTTTGTGGAGTGAAACAAAGAATAGAATAATTGTTAACAAGTAATAGAATTCATAGGGGTAAATTTCACATCATTTTCCTGTCTATGGTCTTGGCGAAGTCACTAAAGGCACATGACAAAAGGAAGGAGAACATGCACAGATTTCAAAAGAAACTGACAGGAGGACAGTATTAATTTCTCCTAGTGGCCAAAGATGGTCCCCCCCACACTACCTTTTGTGAGGAATCTTCAGAAATTCCTGAATGCTATTCATCATTGATTGCTTCTCAAAAACCCTTTCTTATAACATTTAGGAGTGTGTTATTTCTTTACCTAGATCTTAAACCGTCAGATATAAGAAAAAAAGAAACAGCACTTTGTTTAGTTCCAATCAGAATGCTGCCCTCAGTGCTTCCCCTGCCCCCAGCTATATGTACCTTCTCCATGTCAAGGCAAAAGGGCTTACTGAGGAGGAGAAAGAATGGGATTTTTTTCAAGGTTGGTTGGTTTGGTTTTTTTCCTTGCTACTGCAATCCATGAACAAAAATTAGATGATGTTTTCAACAGTCTAAAGTAGCGGTGCATAAATGTTCTTAAATAAGTGTTTGTGGAGCATCTGCTATAAAACATGCTACTGCATTGACAACCTTGTCTGGAGGGAGGGGGGGCGATGTTCACCCAAATAAACCAGCTAGAGAATTATGTAAGACCGTATAATCAAACAAAATTAACACAGCCAGAGAACAGTGTGTATGGTTATTTTCCTAACTTGTGAGAGGAGACCCATTATCGGGTCACAAAATCAATTTAGTGGAAGTGTATATTACATTATTTAGTAAGGATAAATTTCACAAATCTTCTGTTCACTTGTATGTGAGTGGTTAGTCATAACGTAAAACATTTTTTCTGTAGGTTATGGTTAAACACATTTGAAATCTATTGCCTTAGATAACATATAATTATTTAGATTTATTTCTAAATATTTGTTATATGTACTAAAATAATGTGTGGATCACCAGAAAGCATTGGGGTATGATGGAATGAGCTCTGAATGGAGAACATTATGGCTCCAAATGATTTAAAGTCGTTTAAGGTCCAAAGAGGTTTTTTTTTCCTGTGAAAAGTGAGTTAGATTAGGTGATCCTCAAGTTTCTTTCCAGCTCTGAGATCCTGTGAATTTCTAAACTCTCGAGAACAAGTTTAATTTTTAAAAAAATTCAGTTTGAGTATATTAGATACTTCTAAACTATTAAAGTAAGATTCGAGATGAGTTGTTTGTAGACCCAAATACACAATACACGGGAATAAAAGGAAAATTTTCTGTAAAATCCTTTCAGACCACAGGTCCTGAATAGTGTTTCCTATATGTCTGGAGTTCATACAAGTCTTTATATGTATTTTTTATATTTTCCCAAACTTCTAAATAGAATATTAATAGTTCGGGTGAGCTTTTAGCATTTGACTAGAATTATATCAACTCAGTGTAGTAAAACAGCTCTATGATTCAGAAGCTCTAACTGGTTACTGATGACTCAGAACTTTGGGGAACATTATTGATAATGAAATATGTTGCAAAGCCACACGTCATATAGCTGTATCTTGAATATACCGAGATGGCCAGAGTTTGTGATCAGGAGCAGAAAGCAGCGTATAAGTGTCTGTACAATTACTTTGTTGATTCTTAGTGTCACAACTGCAGTAGTGATTTGTGTATTTCATAATATTATGAACCCTTTTAAAATTACTGATCTTTGAATAAAATCTGGATCAGCAGTCACACATATGGAACATATTATTTTAAACATGCAATTTGATAGACAAAAATCTTCAAAACATTGGTTCATTGGGGGAAAATTAATGAAAGGTTCAAAACCACTGACCTAAGACTTTTCTCCCAGAATGTCTGTGAACATCTTGTACTACTAAAAACTTCCCTGGAGGCACCTTCATAATCAGAGGTGAAGGATCCTAGCAGTGATCCTAGTTTTAGCTTCAAAATGGTTGGTAGATAGTTTCCTGTATACATTTCCTTTTCAAATTTCAGGGCATGTTTCACTCTGCCACACTGCCTTCCTGGGCCTCTTCTTCCCAGGGTGTTTGACTTCGCACATTGTGCACAGGCACAGAGACTAGATTTGTGGGTGCAAACAGGATATGGGTGAAATAAAAATCTCCATTTCATGCCATCTGTACACTGAAGCTCCATTTTCACGGACTTGTCAGTTTGCTTTATGCCTAAGTGGATAAAACTCTCCCTCAGTAGAGTTGAATTGTCTCAGCTTTTAAATAGGAAAGCTTTTGCTGCTTAGATTGTAAACGCCTCATATCGACCTCTGAACACTGAAGAGAAGAAAGGTAGGAGAGGACTCTCTTCATTTGACTCTAAATTATTAAGCATAGCTAACAACATAATATTATGCCGGGCATTGTGGAAGCCAGTTAAACAGACATGATTTTTATTTTTCCCATCCTAGCTGACAGTATTCTTTAAGACAAGAGCATTCATTGTCACACCTGGTTAGTGTTCTCTCTCCTGACTTGGAGGCAGAGTGAACACTGCAGTGATATGGGGTTCTTGCGCCCCCATGTGCTCTTTGGGAAAAAGGCATGTCCAAAGCAAGCTGGTTAAGGATCATCTTTCAACCACTGAACCCTTTTCAGACAAAACAGGCTTTGCTTTGTTTTGACCACCCTTGCTGAACCAAGAAACCAGTGCTGTGATTTAGAAACAAGTAATTTATGACTCTAGGATTTTAGGTTTAAAAAAAAACTCATAAATCACCCCTGCCTTTTCTCTTCTTCCTTCATTCTTTTAGTACAGGATTTCTTAACCACGGCACTGGTGACGTTTGGGGCTGTATGACTCTGTTTTGGTGGGAGGCTGTCTCATGCATTGTAGGATATTTAGCAGCATCTCTTGCCTCTATTCACTAGTTGCCAGTAGCGCGCACACCCCTTCCAGTTGTGACAACTAAAAAACATCTCTAAACATTGACAAATGGTCCGCGGAGGGTGCAAAATCACCCCAAGTTGAGAACTATTTAGCACATCAAAAGCAGAAATACCACAGAACAAATACCTTTGCTGTTGGAGGTTGAGGTCAAAATAAAATTATATGTGATGTAAATGAAAGAGCTTTCAAGAAATCAAAATGCTCCGTAAATGTAAAGGAACTACTATGAAGTCTGTTACTTGTTTTTCTTTTTAGAAGCCTTCTACCATTCTGACTATTCAGAACCTACCGAAGTGATAAGGTCTGGATCTTTGTCCTCCCTGGCTCTTCTTTTCTTTCCCTGTAATGATATATTAGGACATAATCGGAAAGGTAATAGGTACATTAAAAATGAAGGAGAAGAGAGAAAGGAGAAACTAGGCATAACAAGGAAAATGCCTGTCCTTCTTACCTAATCTAAATGAAATGACACCTTTCATTCCTACCTCCATTTTTTCCCCCAGTGATAGAAAAAGTTTTGATTCCATAGTTATATTCCTTTGACCTTAATATTTATTCAGCAAATCTTAATTAAGGGCCTTTTGTGCTAAACTCTGGATATTCCAAAAGGGATTGGATATGCTTCCTGTCCTCAAAGAGCTCGCAGTCTAGCAAGAGAAAAGAATGACAGAAAGAATGTGCCAACCCCTGAAACTAGCGAGGACTGTAGTCTTCTTTTTTTTATAGTGTCCAAAGAAGGAGCAGTGGGCCTGTGGCTATGACTAAATATAAGTATTGCCTTAGTTTCCTTGGACTGTCGTAATAAAGTACCATAGACTGAGTGACGTAAACAACAGAAATTTATTTTTCACAGTTCTAGAGATTAGAATTCTAAGATGAAAGTGCCAGCAGGGTCAGTGTCCCATGAGAGCCCTCTCTTTGGGTCACAGATGTCTCCCTTCTTGCTGTGTCCTCACGTGACTTTTCCTAGGTACTTGCAAGTAGGGAGAGAGGGAGCAAATTCTCTGGTGTCTCTTACAGGGAAATTCATTCCATCATGAGGGCCCCACCTTCAGGGCCCCACTCAACCTGATTCCCCTCCAAAGGCCCCATCACCTTGCGGATAGGGCTTCAATGTATGAACTTGGCAGGGTGGGGGATGACACAATTCAGTCCTTAGCAAGTACAATATAACTCCCTCAAGAATTTCAGCATTATTATGAAAAGGGCCTGGTTTCATATTCTTACGGATAATGTGTATCACAGATTTCTGAGGCAGAGAGGATAGCAGATTGATTTTGATACTCTTCTTCGTTAACACCTCAGGTTCCTTTGCACTGCCTTTCTAGAGCAGAACCAGTGAGCTCCGTGTCTTCCCTTTCCTACACGTCACTTGCGAAGAGGGATGTTCAAGGGGGGTGTAGCTGTGCCCTCATTTAGACCCAGGCCCTCCACTTGAACTGGTCTGCCGCGTCTTCATCACCAAAAATTGGTATCAGGGCTTCCTTTCTATGGGTGGAGCTCATTTCCTATGCCAGCCCTTGAAGTCCTTTATAACAGAAACATTCTTGTAGACACGGCTCTGTGATTTTTCTTAGTCCTTAGGTGAAATTTGGAGTGGAAAGATATAACTGTGCATTGAAATGTGTGCACTGCTTTGACTGTGGTAAGTCCTAGTGACATGATCTTAACACTTCATTGATCAAACATTGGATTTAATATCCTAATGGGTCTGGCACCATGGTAGTAGGATGTGTCATCTATTTTCGAGCTTGTAGTCATCTCCTGCAGAAGAGACCCCTCACCTCTACTCCCATTTTATTTGTGTATTTACCAGCTGTCACTCCTTTTTTTCATTCTTCCTAAGATGACAGTAAATACATTGTCTCAGCCCCATAATTTCTTGTATAGAGCATATATATGATTCATGTGAATTAATTACACAATTGTTACTCATGATATGTTAGAATTCTGCTGGTCAAGTAGAGCAAAAATAAGATTAAGATTTTTCTCATTCAGTTAACTGACATCTATGTGATTTATGTTTTATAGTTATTTATGTTGGATGGTGCTATTTAACTATGTATATTCCTATTGTTTACAGCCTGTTTTTGCAAGTAAGATTCTGTTAGGACACAGCCACACCCATTTATTTATAGATCATCTCTAGCTGCTTTTACACTACCAATGACAGAGTTGTAACAGAGATTGTTTGGCTTGCAAAGCCTTCATTGTTTATTATCTGGCCCTTTACAGAAAGTTTGCCGACCCCTAGCTTAGATGACTAAAGATTTGCTGTGTTTGGAATTGGTACTTGCCAGAAGGTACCTACTGTGTGGTGCTGATCTTCAGGAAAAAAGGGAAAAGTAACTTCCCCTTTGTATAAACTAATGACATAGTCTAAAACTACTCACTAACCCTTTGAAAGGCGGATAGATATTAGCACCAAAGAATGTAACCCCCAAAATGCTCTCCTACTGAAAGAACTTCCCCCTCTGGAAAGGATGGGATGGTGAGTAAGAACAGCACTATATAGTGCACTGTCCTGAACCACTCAGGGGTCACTGGCACTTCAAAGGGAATGGAGAAGGTGCCTGAAGAGCCACCTCCTAAGAACAAGAAGAAATGATGAAATATCAGGGTTAGTATGAGGAGGATGTTTCGTTTTGAGGGTTTGTTTTTCTCAGGGAGGTCTGAGCTTACACTTCTTTTGTACCCCGTCCAGAGTCAGTACAACAAGTAATTACTAGCTTTTTTCTTCCTAGGGAGGCAAGTATTTGCAGGCGGTGATTCAATATGGGAAGATAGTATCGTGGTTAGAGATGGAATACGGCTTATCAGAAAAGGAATCTAAAGCTTCGGAATCATTTCTGCTCGCTGCCTTCCTGAACCTGGCTATGTGTTACCTGAAGCTCAGAGAGTACACCAAAGCCGTCGAATGCTGTGATAAGGTATAGTGGCCACGCGTGTGCGCAGTGGATTCCACACCTCCACATTTTTTTCTCCCTGTCATACTTGGTCTTCTTTTGCTTCCTCTCATCCGAGGGTTGGAGTGTTTTTCATTTGCCTTTATTTATATTTGTTTGGGATTATTTGTTTCTCGATATGAATTGGAAAATTCAGAAAGATTTTGATTAGACTTTTCTGACGTCTAGACTATTTATAATAATACATTACGAATAAAAGTTTTGATAATTTTCATCTGTGACCTCAATTAAATCTTACGGCATTTGGTATCAGATTAGACATATAACTCCTCAAGTTCAGTTTAGTAATAACAGATTTAGTCCTTTCAGTACTTTACTACAACCCGCTGCAACTGCTCATATAGAAGCTACATCGACGTCACTTTTTATTATAATCATACTTATTCACTGATTAAGAATACACAAATAATTTGAAGACCCACAAAGCATCAGCAGCCTGCTCCCTTTTTACATTTGTATTGTTAATACTGCTACTGGTCTTTTAATACCTAGGTGTTGCATGGTGATGTTTATTAGATGTACAATTCTGGTATTTGGTGAACAAACCGTAAGGGATAAGAAAAACGAGCTACTATTTCATACATTCTTTGTAAGATAATTTTTGAATTTTAAGATTGAGTTTTGTGCACCAATACGTTCCCTGTCATGTTATACTAAATTTTTGCCTAAGAAAGAAATGTTACTGTTAATTACATCTTTTAAACTTGTGCATCTTTATTTTTTATTATAGAAATAGTATAAAGTTAATAAATATTCAAGCATTATAGAAACATACAAGAAAGTAAAAGTCTATTCATAAAATTCCCATTGACTCTCTCTCCCAAGACCACATTCATCTCACACGTCCTGCTTTTTTCCATACATAGAGTAACATTTATGTGTATATTTTATTAATGAAAACGTATAGATTTAGATACCTAGTTTTGTAAAATCAGGACACTTTCTGCATCTTAGCAGTCTATCATATAACTCCTTCATTCTTTTTAAAATCTATTTAGTATCCATTGTATGCATCTATCGGTTTATTTAACCAATCCGCTTTGGTAGATTTCTAGATTTTTAACATTACACCTTATATAGTGCCTCTCATTACATATCTGTGGGATCATTTCTATAGGATAAATTCTTAGAACTGGAAATACTAGGTCAAAAGACATGATTATTTTAATACATTAACATTTAAAATTTTTATACATTATATATTATTGTTGAATATTTGTTTTTTTCTCAATATTGGCAACAGAAAATTTTTATTTTCATTTTTATTGGTCACTAATGAAGTTGTTCATCTCTTCGTTACTTATTAGCCATTTGTATTTTTTCTGTGAATTGCCTGTTCACACCCTTCTACCACATTATTTGTCTGTTTTCAGTTGGTGGAGATAGCATGTACATAATTACTATTAACCCTTTGTCGGACAATATGGACCCTGTTCTTATTTGTTTACCTTTTAACTTTGTTGATGGTATTTTTTTCTGTAGAGAAAATTCTAAGATAGTCAAATCTGTCTTTTTCTTTCTAGTTAAAATAAATCTTCCCCACCCTAAGATTATAAAAATAACCCCATTCAGTACTTGCAAAACCTACTCCAACTAGGTTTACTTTATAAAAAAATAATAAAAAATAAATAAGCCTATTATGCTTTTATGAGTTTTTTGGGGTTTTTTGCATGCAAATACTTGGTTTAGAATTTTTTCTTGTGTTTATGATATGAGGTAAGAATTAACTCTATTTTACATACATACACCTGACTTTGTTTCTGAATGATTTGTTCTGTTTCATTGACCTATTTGTCCATGGACTAGTAACCAAACTGTTATAATTTTAGTGGCTTAATAGTATATCTTTTTCTCCCATAGGTCAAATCCCCTTTCATTATTTTCATTTTTCCAAAATTTTCTGAGCCATTCTCAGTCATTTACTCCTTCCATTGAATTTTAAAATGAACTTCTCAAGAGCCCCCTCTCAAATCCTTCAGGGCTCTTTATAGAAATTGCATTAAATACAGAAATAATTTGTGTCGTTAGTGTTTTTTTTTTGATCAGTAGTGTATAATAACCTTGAGCCCATCTTTTCAATACACTTTTTCCAACTCCCTTGGCCAGAGAGCTTTGGTAAGTTATTTAAGTACTGAGTTTCTTTAAAATTTCCACAAGTTACATTCATTCTTTCTAAAATATAGACTATCTGTTGTAGGCCCTTGGACTGGACAGCGCCAATGAGAAGGGCTTGTACAGAAGGGGTGAAGCCCAGCTGCTCATGAACGAGTTCGAGTCAGCCAAGGGTGACTTTGAGAAAGTGCTGGAAGTAAATCCCCAGAATAAGGCCGCAAGACTGCAGATCTCTGTGTGCCAGAAAAGGGCTAAGGAGCACAATGAGCGGGACCGCAGAATATATGCCAACATGTTCAAGAAGTTCGCAGAGCAGGATGCAAAGGTATGTGCAGAACTCACTTGCCTTCAAGTCGATCAAGAACTTGACCTTGCTTCTTTGATTTTTATTCTAAGAAGGGGTTAAAGCACAGGGCGCAGAGTCAGGTAGACAGCCCAACAGGCACAAGAATAGGGAAAACAATTTCCAGTCTGATGTGGGCTGGTTTGGATCCAGAAGTAGAATAGGGCTGTTCTACTCACCAAAGGGACGTAGCAGAGAGGCACTGACATATCCGTGAAAGAGATGAGGAAAATTAATTCCCTAGGTATGTACTAAAGATTTATTAGAAATCAAACACGTCAGGTTTTCTTTAGATGCTACTTTCATGTTGAGACTTCCAACTTTCTCGGAATGTGAGCTCTGGCGGGGAAGCACCATCTCCATGCCCTTTACTTTGAGGTTCAGGAGCCAACCCGGCAAATGTGATAGGAGGAGTCAGCCTCCCCCACGGCAAAGTTGCATTCTGGTCCTGAGCTTATCCTCCACTCCACAACCCTTCTTGTTACATGGACTTGTCTATTAAACAATGGCAAGCTAGTCATTTTAACCAAAGAAAAAAAGTGAAAGCTCCCACTCTATGGGCAGCATAGCCCCGACTTCCTCAGTCAGGCAACCTACGTAAAGTCATTGTACTACCCCTTGGTGGTAGACCTGACAGACAGTCTGGAAGAGCCAAGAATTAATCCAACATTTCACTTATTTCTTCCTCAGGAAGAAGCCAGTAAAGCAGTGGGCAAGAAGACTTTAGAAGGGGTCACCAATAAAAAAGAAAGTCAAGCAACGAAAGAGGAGAAAGCAGAAGGCCATGTATGACACCACGCAAAAGGAGGGAAGAGTCCTGGTGAACTCGGCCCCCTCCTCCCTGGGCTTTCACCCAACTCAGGACTAAACAGTGTTTAATGTAAAGTTTGTCATAGTCTATGTGATTCTGGAAGCAAATGGCAAAACCAGTAGCTTCCCAAAAAACCACACCCTGCTGCTGCCCAGTGCTCTCATTGAGGGGTGGCGTGGGACCACTCCAGGTGGAACAAAACAGAAATGACTGTTGGTGTGGAGGGACTGCGCCAACAGCTTAAGTCCAGCTCATTTCAGTTTATGTCACCTTTCAATATCCAATTCAGGGTCCCTTGAGATAATCCCGACAATTGAAACTGTCCAATTTTATATTTGATTGAACTTTAATAGCACTTCAGAAACCCAAAAATAAATGCTTAATGGATTTCTCCTTTCTTGCAGTTGGATGGGGGAAAGGAGGATGAGATTTTGTGTTTTAATTAACCGAAGTGCTACGAATGCAACCTGTTGTATTTTTAACCAGTAGAACCCAAAGTAGGGGATCTAATGTCCCCTCAGGTCCACTGCAGTGTCACAGACTTGAAAGCCAGAACCTCAGAGGCCACTTGCTTGCTGACTTAGCCATACTCCACCCTTAGTGAGCCAGCCTCCTTGTGAGAGTGGGTTTCTGCCACACCCTGCCTGTCCCAGAGGAGGAATCCTGTCATTCCTAAAACACTTCGGAAGTGACAGCTAGCAGAGGGAGTTTCTGGATTAGCTTTCTCTGTTTTGGATGAAGTTCTGAGATGTTGAAATGTGAAAAGAGCAATCAGAATTGTGTTTTTTCCTTTCCTCTGTTCCTTTTCGGAAATAATTTTGCATACAGTACTGCCTGCTAGCATTGCTACTGCTCAGTTTCTTATTTCCATTCTAACCCTCGCTATTAAGAATTTAAAACTTGTTCTTGTAATATTTCTGACCTGGAGTGGATTTATTTACATATCCATTTAGGATCCATGCAGCTTTTTTTGTTGTCTTTTTAAAATTACTGGCTCATAAACATTTGTATACTGGAACTTTATTTACACTCTTCTCTCGTGCAAAAAAAAAAAAAAAACCCTTTACTTTTTACTATGAAGTAGCTGAATTTTTAAAAACAAAATCTGTGGAGTTGAAATCAGTAGTTGTTCTATGTTAAGGGTTAAAAAAAAAAAACCTTTACTTTTTACTATGAAGTAGCTGAATTTTTAAAAACAAAATCTGTGGAGTTGAAATCAGTAGTTGTTCTATGTTAAGGGTTTTCCTTGCAGGTTCGACGTGCAGTAGCTTTCTTTTCCTGAGCCAATAGCTTCTTTGTTCTGGTGCGAGTTGTGAAAAAGAATTGAAAACAGCTTCCCGTGCAAGTACATCTAGCCTAAAATCTGCAGCACTTGGGCATCGAATTAGGGAAAGTCTTAAATATGTACATGTAGTTGAATTTTAGTCCTTACGGGTAAATGAGTTTGAGCATGGCTTTCTAGCCCTTCAGCCTAAGAAACACTCGGGAATGCATTTGGCAACTCAAGGAAATATTTGCTTCAACCTGGACCATCTCACTTTAAATCCTCAAGAGCACTGGCAGTTGGATTTCAGATTAGCTTTAATTTTTACGGTGGTTTTAACAAAACACTTTCATTGTTAGGACTCACGTTAAAGCCTAAGAATAAAGTCACTTCCTTTTATACCAGTTTTCGTCTCCTTAGAACAAATAGAATTAAATAGTGAATTTCTCCCTTAACTAAATTTTTTTAAATTTCTCATTTATGCTTTTTTCTTTTTTTGTGAGATACTTCTTTAAAAAGTCCCAGTCTCACCTAGGAAATATGAAAAGCAAAAGTTGATTTTGCTTATTTGCTTAACGGCTTAGTATTTGTAGCTCTGTTGACTAGAGCATGACTCTGATGAGCCCAAGGTCGAGATTTGATCCTGAAAAAGCCAGTTAGCTTTTTGCAGGTAACAAAAAAACTATTTTAAAAATATTCCATTAAACTTTTCTCCCAAGTGTATGTTATGTGTCAACGGGGGGAACAACAGACAAGAGTGTGTGGAGGGGAGGGAGGGAAAAGTGTGTGCGAGTGGTTCTGAGCAAACAATTATGAGGTGCCCATCACCACTCAAAAAAGAAACTTCACATTTTCTTGTATTAAATTCAGTAATTTTAAACAGTTTGTCTAGAAATCAGCAGATGTCTGAATCAGTCTGCATATGGAGTGGTGAAGCAGCATATGAGGAATTAAAAACAAATCGTTTTTTTTTTTTAATCATTCAGATGCACTTTTAGTGTTCCTTAAATAAATTCAAAAACGTGATTTCTCATTGTTCTTGGTTTTGCTTAAATAGTCTTCAAGAAAGGTCGTTTTCATTGGAAAACTATGGTGGGGCCCAAGTTGAAATGAAACATCAGAATATTGGTAAGGACAGTGTTGACGACCTTGCTCTAATGCACAACTTGAAATCAACATTGGGCTAAAGGTGGTGGAATGATGCATCTTTGTTCAAATGAACCAGATAGTCAGAAAAACGAGCATTTTGGTTTTTTTTCATTAACCAGTGGGTATTCTACCATTTGAAGTGATCGTAAGGTAGGTTGTTTGGGAAATGAAAAGATTTAATTGTGCCCTTTAATAAATATGTAAAATATAAGTAAGCCAATGTCAGGCAGTGCCCTATGTTAAGCATGCATTTCTTCTTTCTTAAGTAGCATATTTTATCAGATACTCATGTTTACATGCTCTGAAAGTTTAAGGAGATAATGTCACATACTGTGTGAATCCAGATTCACACTGCAAAATAAAAGTGGCCTGGGGCCGGGGCAGTGGCACACCTTTCTCCAGTAGTACCACCAAAGTCTATAGACAGGTCACTGCAGTGTCTGGGCACCTCTTATTTCCTCTGAATTCTTTGCTTCATCTCTGGTTAGGAGTTAATACGTATCACTTACCCTTTGCTGCTAAATTACTTGGTAATGAGGTAATCCCCTTTATTTGCACATTTTTCCTAAGCAAATAATGATTTTATCAGGGATCTTGAGGTGAGCCAGCCTGCACCCGGTTGCAAGGCATGAGGAGCGTCAGTGGAGAGTTTTGTCCACACTTATCTGGCCTCTCTAGCAACATTTTGAACTCTCCTTTTAGCACGATGCATTAGGATGTATTCTCTGGGACTGGCAACCATGGGAGACTCACCAACATTGCTGACAAATGCGTTAAATTTGAGTTCATTAGTCAAAATCCCCAAACTCAGAATTCCCCAATGTAGTTGTGCATTATTTCCATCAACTGGCTGCTCGTGTGTTTGAATGACAATGGCAGAGGACTTTGGAGAATCAAGAGTGGGGAAGACTCAGAATAGTGAAGTGGCTGGCACGTGGTCATCCAGGTCATCTGATGCCCTAGTACAATTACAAAATAGGTCTTTTCCTAGTCTGAAATATGATTCTTTTGGCATATGGCATGAGATGTTGGTAGTTCTTTAAAATCCCTAAGCATTTGGTGTTACTGAAATGGCACAGAGCCATAGGCCTCATGTTCTACTTGGGAGTAAAAATAATGTGGAAAATTTACCAGTATGTGAAAGGTAGGCATGTTTTGCTTTCTAAAGTAGGCTCTGGGTTGAGTTAAGGAATTTTGGTGTTCGGGTTGTTTTTTCAGATCCTTTTCTCTAGATACTAGATCCTCACCACCCACCACCTTGGAATCTGGTTGGAGCAAGAAAAGGCAAAAAGTTTTCCTCTATAGTTGGCTGGTTTTGCACAGACACTTAAATATCCATACTTGAAGGGACCCTCCCTTTTTAACATAAACAAGGGTGAGTAGCGTAGTAAAACCTTCCGTGATTTGTGAGGCACCGACAGGCAGGGTAGGTAGCAGCGGCTGATATCAGTGCATTGGAAAAGCTGCCCTGCAGCCACAGGCGAAAACCGATTATGCTGCTGCCGAGTGCTTACTACACGCCAGGTACTCAAACCCTCTTTCCATGGAACTTCCGAATATAAAAAGGATGTGGTTGCTGCCTTGTTTCTACTCTCCAAATCTCACACAAGATCATGTGGCCCCTGCTAACCCAAAACTATGCAAGGAAGAATTCCGGGCCACGTATTTCAAACTTGGCTTAACTGACATGTTACAAATACACCAAACGTCTACGCCTTTCTTGGGGTATTAAATATTTCTGACCTGGGTCTGCTTTGGATCAGTGTTTTCATAAAATACCTTTTAACTGCAGGCATTATAACTTGGCTTTAAAGTTATCTCCTTAAAAGTTTCTGACAAGGAGATAAGATAGGAAGAATAAGTAAGCTGATGATTAGTATTTCAGGATTAGTATTTGGAGCTGCAATGACTAATTCTAGTTACTCTTGTAGTGATTTGATGTCTCCTCACAACCATATTTCCACAGAGAACTCCTGATCTTTTCAGACAGAAATGTAAACCCACATGTGTACTCTCACCCTCTACAGATACCAAAGTCTTCCTAAAGATGACACCAGCCTGAACATTCAGTTAGTACTCAGGATGATCCCCACTGAGGGGTTCAGGAACTCATTACACTCCTTTTACTCATTACCATCTCAGCACCGAGTACACCATCCCAACCCAGTACATAGTAGGTACTTAATATATTGACTTCCTGACCTTTTTCATGAGGCAGCCTTGCATTTCTATCTCAGTAGCCCTCTATTCCTGTTACTTGTCTTGAGACAGGACCAGAACCACACGGTTTTCTGGCAATTCCTGCAGCCTGATTTTGGCCTTGAATTCCTTGAGGTGGTGAACCAGCAGCAGACTTAACAGGGCATGACTGCAAAATGGGTCTATGGTCTTCAGGCCACATTGATCTTAAATCTATTTCCAGTCACACTGATAACTCAGTTCATCGGCCTAAACAGATCAGATTTGAAGTGGAGGAGGATTCTGAGAAGATGGCAGAATGAGAAGCCTTCACCAGGAACCTCTCAACTTAGATAACAGTTGCACTGGCAGAATCCGATGTAACTGTTTTGGAGGTCGAGTCTATTGAGGTCTTCCAACTTCCAGAAGGAGGCGGGGATGGTAGATTGCAGTAAATTTCAGCTGTTAATACAATAGCGGCTCCAGCCACATAGTGGCAGCTCTTCAAGTTTTTCTAGAGCAGGGGGTCACAGCCTTGCAGGTGCTAGAGTGGGGAGATAAAAAGACTGACCCCTGAATACTGGGGATCAATCCTCTGATTGCTGCTTCTGATCACTGAGGTGCAAAGAGGTGGGCAGCCATTGTTTCACCTCTCCTATTATTGCGGAAGTCTCTTCCCCCTCTGGCTGAAGTGATTTCCAGGGATATTTAAAGGGTCAGCAGCCTTTTTGCCCCCTCTTCCTTTTTTACATTTTCTTCTTTCAGGTGCCAGACATTAAAGACTAGGACATTAAGCAACAAGTGCATATACAGGGAAAATTAGTAACACTTGCCGAGGGAAAGTCTCAGAAAAGATCTGAAAAGACATTAAATTTATACCGCAGGCTGATCCTCAATACAGAGACAGCCTACAACAATCAAAAAGTCAAAAACAACAAGAACAATAACAAAACACCAAGCCCTGGGAAGAGGGAGAATATGATTTCTGGAGCTAATACATTACTAGATTCAAATGGCCAATGATCAACAAAAAATTACAAGGCATACAAAGAAACAGGAAAGTAAGGCTCATTCAAAGGAAAAAGTCAACAGTCTGTCCTGAAAAAGAATGGCAGATGTATTAAACAAATAGTTTAAAACAACAGTCTTCGAGATGCTCAAAGAACTAAAGGAAGATATGGAGAAAGTCAAGAAAACTGTGAACAAAATGGAATTATCAATAAAAAGGAAACCTAAAAGAAAAAACTCCTAAAGCTGAAAAGCACAATAACTGAAATTAAAAATTCACTAGATAGATTCAAGAACTGTTATGAGCAGTCAGAAGAATCAGTGAATTTTATTAGCTAGGACAATGGAAATTATTGAGGCTGAGGAACAAAAAAAGAAAAAGATTGAAGAAAAGTGAACAAAGCCTAGCTGTAGGATGGGACACCATCAAGTGAGCTAACATACACATCATGGGAGTCCC